GGTCTCGGGAGCCTGGGTCGGATGGCATGCTTCCGGTCGGGTGGCAACACCACCTCTGTTGTCTCTTATTGATGAAACATGCTTTATTTTTCTTTATATAGTGGTGGCAGAGGGTTTGTGTTTTGTTTTTTTGTTTTTGTTTTTGTTTTGGTTTTTTTTCCCTAGCTTTATTTCCCTGTGCATGTTTCCTGTTTACTTCTTTTGCTTTGAATAGTCGCTTCCTAAATAGTGTAGAACTCTAACAGAACTAGAGACTTGTTAGACTAGCAAGTGAGGGTTCCAGATCTTTTGTCTTTCATGCAATCACTCCTACTGGCTTTTTTAACAGGCATACGGCCTCCTATCGTGAATGGCCCAATGCCAGCGCGGCCACTGGTTGCACTCCTGGATGGACGAGATTGCACTGTGGAGATGCCCATCTTGAAGGATGTTGCTACAGTGGCGTTTTGTGATGCTCAGTCAACTCAGGAAATCCATGAAAAGGTGGGCAACAAAATGAGCACACATTGAGACACAAAGCTCTGCCTCTTGGATTAACCAAAGCAGAGATTGATTTGGACTGGTTTTTGTTGTAGGTGCTGAATGAGGCAGTAGGAGCTCTGATGTATCACACCATTACGCTTTCTCGTCAGGATCTGGAGAAATTCAAAGCCCTCAGGGTCATTGTGCGTATTGGCAGTGGCTATGACAATGTTGACATCAAATCTGCTGCAGAATTAGGTACGATGACACCATTAGGGCTCTGTTGCGATCAGAACTGAATGTGAAGTGGAACTCTGCACATGTTTTTCTGTTTTATAGCTGAGTGCATTTAAAACCTTTTATGTAAAAAGAGTTGGAGCCGCTTAGTCTTAGGCATCTTTAGGAAGCCGACCAATATCGGAGCTGGTAGGTGGCTTGAAAGAAAGATTCTCAGTTCTCAGAATGCTCTGCTATAGGTGTCAGTGTCATTGCTATTGTTTGGGATTTAGAAACCTGAATACGGTGTCTAGATAATTTTTGGTGAGGCGGCTTTGGGCTGTTTGTGGGGAAAGAACTGAGCAAAGTGATGTCTGAAAGCAGCCTGCAAATGCTGATGCAGGATAAACTCACTGTAAATGCTCAATAAGTGAGTTTTCCTGTTAATTTTACATATGCAGGTAGGTTCTGATTCAATTCTTTATTATTGAACCCTTTAGAGCCGTAGACATGTGAAGAGTCTCTGGATGAGGTGACAAAAAGCTGCTATTTATTAAACGTATGGCAGTGAGAGGTTTGGACCTTGTAGTCTCCTAGGTGAGGTGGATCATCTAAGTACCCTGCCCCTTCTTTTTTGGGTTTGTGTCAGTGGTCTGAAACCTTTCTTAAGGTAATGCAGATCAGGTTAAGCTTAAATCACATGCAAGTATTCGCATAAAAAATTGAAAGAGGCACTACAATTTTCCAGATCTGTAAGAACAGATCAATTGCAAATAAACGAAGGGTGCGTATTTGTCTAGTGCCTGAATTAGGTATAAAGAGGCTTCTCATCTGAATGATTCAACTGCATAGTCTCAAGAGTTCCTGGCAAGGTCTTGGGCTGTCATCCAACCATTACATTTTTTGGCTGAGTTTGGGACCTAATCTACTCTTAGGGTTCTCTGCTTAAAGTCACCATCCATATCCTTGATTCATTCAGATTCAAAGCTTTCCCTCTTGCCCCACTCTGCACTCATTAACCGGAGCAGAAATGGGTCAAAGTTCTCTCACCATCAGACTGCTGCTTGCCACTTTTTCTTTGGAGTGACAATATGATGACCCTTATGCACGGTTTTGCTTTTTCACGGACAATTAATGATTATTTTCATGCTTAGCCAGGCCCTTTAATTCATTCTGAGGTAAGATACTGTTCCTTATACATTCTGAATCTTCAAATTGGACCAGAGGGCTGTTGTGCGTGTTTGCGTTTTCTTACATTTAGGCATAATATTGCATGTAGACACAAATTTGTGTCTAGCTGTGTAAGAATGAATGCATGCGGCTTGTCTGAAGTTGAATGAGATGGTAACAGGTGAGATTAAAAGAAGTTAGGTTTCCCTTTCTCCCCTCCTCATGTCATCTGAGTTGTCTGTGTGGCATGATGGCACAATTGCAAAGCATTTGATAGAGAAAAGGAGTCAGGTATCTGGGATTGTGTGTGGCCATTGCTCTCTTAGTTCTCTTGGGAGAGCATGAGCTAAGTTTAGTCAAATGTCTCCTTTGTAATAGGCTTACAAAAGAGTGATGCATTGCTGAATTTTATGTACCTTCAACTGTTGCTTAGATTTTCATTCCTAGTTTTTAGATAGGTGGTGGCCTTTTGAGGAGGAGTTGTTTCCTTGGTTTGGCAAGTGGCTAAGGTTATGTTTGCGAAGAGATCATTTGTTCATCTAGTTATTTTTATTTCTTTATTGGTTTGTTGAATGAAGGATAGCAGCAGTGATGTTTGCAGCCCCCACCCTCCCCCTGGCTTTTTTTTTTTTTTTTTTCATAGACTGCTCAGGAATGAGCAGATTTTGCTGCATTTTTCCATCTTTCCCTTTCCTGACAGTAATTTGTGCTTCCAGGACTTTAACTCTGTTTGCATTGGTAATCTACCTGATAGTTCTAACCATGGGTTTTATGGTCCCTTGTGGTTGTATGTTATTCTAGAGTGGGAGTGTTATGTGTTGTTATTTTTAAGTGTAACTTCAAATGGATTTAGAGAGGCTCCTGTGGCTTCTCTCTGCGTTTAATGAGTTACTTATTGTTGCTCCTGGGGAAACTGGTGCTTGCAGTGAGCATCTGGACTATGAGGCATGAAAGAGCTCAACCATCTGTCTTGATTCTTCTACAGTCTGCCAGTTAATCTGTCAGGAGTAGCTCTGGAACGAGTGCATCTTTTTGGATGCAGATCTTCTGAAACAGTCACTTTCTTGCATCACTTGTATGACCCAGTTTTCTCATTTCAGCCTGTTTTTTTTTTTTTTCTGGTGAGTGTGTCAATCAAATAAGGAAAGAATGGTATTTCCTTGGGGTTAAAAAACTGGCTGGTCGAATTTTTGTTGCTGTAGAATGAGCTTCTGAGGCGAATCCTGTGTTTCTTGGCAGTAGTTCTGGAGCACTGAATTATCTTTCAGTGCTTATGGCTGAAGAGCTCTATGTTGGTTTAGCATTGTGATGCTAAAAATCTTATATGACCTCTATGGCTTTGTAGGCATTGCAGTTTGCAACATCCCTTCCTCCTCAGTAGAGGAGACTGCTGACTCTACCCTCTGCCACATCTTGAACCTCTATCGCCGTGTTACTTGGCTACATCAGGCTATGCGGGAAGGGAATCGAGCCTCGAGTGTAGAACAGATTCGAGAGGTGGCTGGAGGCGCTGTGCGTATCCGTGGGGAGACTTTGGGCATCATTGGACTCGGTAAGTGATGGGAATTGTTAGATTGAAAAATGAACTCTGAAAGTTTTTGGGAACCTAAGAGTCACAGACTGAAAAAAGTGATAATTTTACAGCTGTTCGTTGTGAAACACACTGACTCATGAGGAATGTTAGTGCCCTATTCTGTGATGCTGGATATCTTCAAGAGTTGGGTGTATGCCATGGGATTGGGGATTTTTTTTTCATATTCAAATGGTTAGAAGAATTGGCACATTCAAACAGATCTTCTCAATGACTGTTTCCCTGTGTGCTAGGCTCTGTATCAGTAACAAAGCCACCTGAAAGCTACCAATTCCTTCTCAAGGTTCTTGTAATCAGATGATTATTGCCTCTGACTCAGGGTCCAGATTTGGTTTGAAAAACAGCTCCTACTAGGCTGAGCTCTGGCTATTGCATGGGGAAGGACTAGAATTAGCCACATGGGATCAGCACTGAATATAACCTCCTCTGGATCCCTATGGCAATATTAGGGGTTTCCAGGGCTGCAGTACCTTGGGCCCTGGCAGTAAACTCCATTGTAGGCTCCCAGTCTGCCCCAGTATCTTGTCTTTAAAGTTTGTTTTACCTTTCCTTGATGATTGTGGGTTTTCTTTTGTGAAGGCCGAGTTGGACAGGCAGTGGCTCTGCGAGCCAAGTCCTTTGGCTTCAACGTGATTTTCTATGATCCCTATCTGCCGGATGGAGTGGAGCGATCCTTGGGTTTACAACGAGTAGGAACCCTGCAGGATCTACTAATGCACAGCGATTGCATCACATTGCACTGCAGCCTGAATGAACATAACCATCACCTCATCAATGACTTCACTATTAAACAGGTGCAGCAGGAGCTTGATTTCCCCCACAGAGCACTGTGGAAATGAATGCAAACAAAAACTGCTGCTTTCACAGAGGCTGAGAGCGTGTGAATCCTGCTGCCTCTGTCGTGTGCCTCCTGCTGCCTTTGGAGGCTGGGAGCGTGTGGATCCGGGTGCCTGTGCTTTGTGCTGTATAGAATTTCATGTTAAGAGAAGAATAGGATTGGCCAAGTAATTTCATTTATAAAGAATGTTTTAGGTGATTCAGTAATTTCACATTACCTTTAAAATGCATAGTTGACTCTGCTGGTTAGAGCCAGATGTGGTGTGGCTGGGACTGTGTAAGCTTCTTTACAGAGCTCTGCCAAAGCCTCTCTGCCCAAGCCCACTGCAAAGTCAGTCTCGGGCTCTATTCCACTAGTCTATGAATGCTTTTCAGTGCTTTCATGAGAGACATCTGGACGTTGTAGTCCAGTTTTGTATAGCTGGATACTTAATTCATGTCCTCTTTCTTTTTTAATGTAGTAGGATGAATATAGAGTGCAGAACCTGAGAGTTCCACTTTTGCCCTTGTTGTCTTGTGGTTTTGTTTGTTCATTTTTAAAGCAATTTCTCAAGCATTGCTTGCAGGCATTTCCCCTGTGGTTAGCTTTGCAGTGAGAGCACTCCTAGTTCGTCCAGGCCTCATCTAACCACTGCAGGCTCCTGCTCATTTCCAGTAGACTTCCCAAGATTCACTTAGCTTCCATGAAAAGTCTCATTCTCAACCCACTTAATATTTTTCTTCTTCCAGATGCGCCAGGGCTGCTTCTTAGTGAACACAGCCCGGGGAGGGCTGGTAGATGAGAAAGCATTAGCGCAAGCCTTGAAAGAGGGGAGAATCAGAGGAACAGCATTGGATGTGCATGAGTCTGAGCCTTTCAGGTAATGTTGCACCTGCATACCTGCTGCTGTCCTGTGACTCACCTATGCTGGATGATTCTTTTGGGTTTTTGTTATTTGAGTTGCAGTGAAACCCATGAGGACAGATGAAGTTATCACTTCTGTTGTGAAACTTTTTTTTTTTTTTTTTTTTTTCCCCTCTTTCCCCTCCCCCACAGCTTTGCTCAGGGGCCCTTAAAAGATGCACCCAATGTGATCTGCACCCCTCACACTGCCTGGTACAGTGAGCAGGCTTCCATTGAATCCAGAGAAGATGCAGCTAAAGAGATTCGCAGAGCCATTACAGGTAATGAGCAAGACTGCGTGCTCTGCAGCTGGTGCCGAATTAGTATTCTTTTGTTACTTCACTGCAAGGATTATGCTGATTGTTCTGAAAACTTAGACTTGGTAACTGGTTTCTGGAACTGGAGCGTAAGCTGATAATTGTCTCTTTGCCTTCTGAGAATCTTGTAACTAATGCTGAAGTGGCACTTTCCCTCCCCTGGGAAAGCCTTGTACCTAGTATATATTCCAAGTCCTTTGCAATAATTCCGTTGACAGTTATACTGTACACCTTTTTTCTGGAGTAGTACATATCATCTCTTGGTGAAGGTGAGGCTTGGCAATGGCAGTTTGTGGCAAATAATTTCCACAAGATCACAGAAGTGGGAAGGAAGGATCAGTTTATTGTCTTCTCCAGAGACCAGTTGTTCAGAGGAGAGTCTCCCCTGCCCAGTGTTATCCTGTGGAGGTAGATGGAAAAAGATGTTGCGTGTTTCCTTTCTATTTTCCTTTGTAAATGCTTCGGGGAATGAGCCCCTCTTACTCGTCTCCTGGGGTTTTTTTGTCATTCTTTGTGCTCTTGCAGGCCACATACCTGATGCTTTGAGGAACTGTGTTAATAAGGAGTACTTGCTGTTAGCAGCTCAGTGGTCCAGTATTGATCCTGCAACTGTCCATCCAGAACTCAACGGAGCTGCGGCTTACAGGTGAGATACGTAGGCTGTCCAAAGGCACTTCCAAGCCTATCTTCCTACTGAAGTAAGTCAACAACCCTCTTTGGATTTGAGAACTGCTTGTACCTGCAAGCAGGTGTGTTTCTGTTCCCATATCCTCTGTATATGAGCTCGTTCCAGAAACTTAACAGCAGCACTTCTGAAGCTGTACTAGGATTTAACATTTACGTGGTGATATTTAGTTCCAGCTGCATACTGGTTAATTTTTCCAAACCCTTGCAAGACCTGCCCAAGAGATATCTTAATATAAGAAAGCCTGCTGGGTGACTGAAAAGAGGTCTGGATCTTAACGTTTAGAAATTGTGCGTACCATTAGGGCTATATAAACAAAGCACAGTTCTTATCTGTAGCCCAAATATGGGCTATAAAGAGACATTGTCCAGTGGATTTGGGCAGTGGCCTAAAGAGGTTGTATTTCAGTTTATTTGTCTATTATAGATCTGCCAAGTGACCGTGGGCAAGCTGCTTCCCTTCTGGTTTTCTCCCATCTGAGAAGTAGGAAATATATTCTCTTCCCCTCTCTGAGAGCTCTACAGAGGTTCAGACATTTATGGACAAGGCACAGGGAGGCAGAATGGAAGAGTGGTTCATTAGCAATTAATGAGTATCACTCTCCTGTTTTGCATCTTAGATCTAGCTGTTTTATTAGTTCAGCTCCTTACTTTTTCTATCTTAGAGCCCAGTGAAGGACAACTGGCAGCTTGCACTCCTCCTGCTGATGGGGAGGAAATTTCCAGCCCTTCAGGGTACCTTCATACAGTGCTTCACACTGTTTTCTACTGGAGATAAACTTTGTACCTGTTTTCCAAATGCTTAGTATGTGACCTGAGACAATCTCTGCCTGTCTGAGAATGGGTGTTGTTTGGTATTAGGATATTTCAGCTCCGGAGACTTCTCCTCTGTTCTATTTCGGACTATTTCTGTTAGAGTGATTTGTATTCAGCAGGTGCTTGAGGGCACGGCTCCTTTCCCCTTGCATATCTGTTGGACAAGCTTGTAATTTCTACGTTTCTGTTGGTTTTAGGTTTCCTCCAGGAGTAGTGGGAGTAGCCACCCCTGGGCTACCAGAACCGCCAGCAGTGGAAGGGATTGTAGCTCATGGGATCCCATCTGTTTCTCACTCAGCACCGCGTACCCCTTCCCCAGGAGAGACGAGCAAACTGGATGCAGACAGAGAGATTCCT